AAAATGAGACAAAGTCTCTCTCTATTGCCCAGGCTGGAGTGCAACTGCACAATCTTGTCTCACTGCAATCTCTGCCTCCCAGGTTCAAGAGATTCTCCTGCCTCAGGCTCCCAATTAGCTGGGATTACAAGTATGTGCCACCACTCCTAGCTAATATTTTTGTATTTTTAGTAAAGACGGGGTTTCACCATGTTGATCAGGCTCATATTGAACTCCAGACCTCAATGATCCACCCATCTCGGCCTCCCAAAATGCCAGGATTACAGGTGTGAGCCACTGCACCCAGCCTGAAGTCCTTTTATTTACCTGTCACATTTTGAGATACATATACTCTTTCTTCTTAGCTACTCAAACAGTGCCTCTGCTTTGAAAGGAAGCTTAATGAATATTCAAAATCTGTTAATAATACTTCAATAAATAAGAAAACCCATTTTTCCTAGAGTTTAACACAATAAGAACAAGAAATTAAATCTCCTGAAAGACAATTACATAGGCCAAATTTCAAGTAAAATATTTGACTAAAAGAAAATGAATTTCATGACCATTAATCTCTTTTAGATTACGAGAATCTTAGGAAAATATAAGCAGCAAAAAATTATTAAAGTTACCCAATGAGATTTAAAAATAGGAATAGACCTATTTTATATAAAATACTTACTCCTATTTTTAAATATTCAATTTTGGATGTTTTCCTATGTCTGTGGTTAATGAGACAGAATAATCACTAACTGAATACAAATATTCAGCTATCAGGTACAGACACATACAGATATACAAACTGGAATCTTGCCTTTAGCTGATATGAGCTTAATAATAAATTATCTGATTCAAAAGAGTCATTATGAAATTAAGGTAGTCAGAGCAATCAAGTTGGCTCTCTGGGCTTTAGCTATTTCAATGTGATATAGTGACTGCCAAAAAAAAGTTATTCAGACAACAGTGCATCATAAAAATATAAAAATTTCCCCCTTACAGATGATTTTCCCCCTTTGGTATTCTCATCCATTTCAGGCAAGTTCAAAGTGCAAGGCAAAATAAAATAAGGCAAAAGGAAAATAAAATGATAAAAATGTTGAGGGTGAGCATGTTATTGACCATGTAAGAAAACACGTGCAAAATATACCTCAGATACACTATAGGTAGATGAGCACGAGGGAAGCCGAGCCTGGTTTTGCAGTGGGGAAAAGAAAACACTGTTAAAGAGGAAAGGATAGCATAGTCAGGGTCACAGAGGGGTTAGATGGCTCCATCACCAACACATTTGCCAGATAATCAAACAGCTTTATAAGCAGACACTTGAGTTTGAAAACATCTCAAGACTCAAGCTATTTGAAGGAAAACTTCGTGACAAAAAAAAATAAAATACCTTGCTAAAAAAAAAAAAAAAATCCATGATGGAGATGACTCCTTCTGCTCAAAATCTGGTATGATCTTGCTGAGAGGGAGAAAGAATGCTGGACAATTTTTTTTATGGTCTGGCATTGATCTTTGCTGGCTTAACACTAGAAAACTACATGTGAGGTTGTTTATAGGATAACTCTACCATCCATGCTCACAGTTATCATTAAAGAGGGTACCGAAGACTGTATTCTGATTCTGATTTCCTGTTCCAACTATCCAATTTTTGGTATTACTGAAACTGGAGAAAGATGAAGGTAGAAGAATCAAAAATGCACTTATCAGATTTGTTCTTTAATTGTATTTCCAGTGCCAAGCACAGCAGAAGGTAGTAGGTGCTCAATAAATGCTTATTTAATGGCTAAGCATACAAATCCCTTTTCTTCTATTCTTAAAAAACTGAACTTATGAAATAGCATTCAGTAATTTTAAAGCTTACTATTACAAATATTTGTGCAAAAAAGTATCATTGCCACTTATTGCTTTGAGGTATTTTCTAAAATATAACGGCAATAGCAACACTATAAAAATGTAAAACCTTAAATACACAACTCTTCTGCAGACTTAGCTTTTATCAGAATGATTCACATAATTTTTTGAATAGCTATTTTATCATTGATTTTTAAAAATAGCTATTTTGTACTTAAAACCATGTTTAACCTTTATGATGCTGAATTGATAATGTTTTCCCCTGTTCTTACTTCCTACGTTGTCACACTGCCATGTTCAATTCGGTGTACTCTTTTCTCATAGGGTTGTCTCACAATGCCATGTAAGATGAAATTGTTAAGTATGCATTCTCTAGTTACAAATACTGCAGGAAGTTCCAAAATAAAAAGGTAGGATGGGGAAATGAAGTACCGGAGAAGGTGACAATAGAAGAATCAAAAATGCACTTATTATCAGATTTGTTTTTTAACTGTATTTCTAGCATCAAGCACAGCAGAATGTATTAGGTACTCAATGTATATTTATTTAATAAATGAATATACAAACCCTTTTTCTTCTATCCTTAAAAAACTGAACTGATGAAATTATGCTCAGAATTTTTAAAGCTTACTACCACAAAGATTTGTGCTAAAAAGTATCATAGCCACTCATTACTCTGAGGTGCTTTTGAAAATATGGTAAATTCTATACATATTCAGAAATAACACATTTTCCAACCATACATACTTCTGAATTTCTTTAACAAAATGTTAGTTCTAAGAAAATCTTGCTGTGTATGTTTGCTCTGTGTCTATATCTATGCCCATAAAACTGAAACACATTATCTCTAAAAATAGTTTGAGAGTCTCAACATTCTTAAAATTTACTCAGTTCTCTATTTTCTACTGCTAGGAAAATTTACTTGAGATATTTTGTTAGTACTTTCTCTTTGAATTAAAGTCTATTCAGAGGAGGGCAATGCTATGGTGCATTTTAAACATCTCAGAAACATGTCACTTCCATTCTAAATGATGTATTAGGCCACTATAGGTTATTTTATTAGTATCATGAGATTTTTTGTTCAAAGCACAGGATAAGACAGATTTTTCTTATTGTTATAACTGAAACCTTAGAACTGAATTAACTACATTAAGAGAATAATAATAAACTGAAAAGTAGTCAAATTAGTCAAAATTAGTCCAAAGACATAATCCTAAAATTGACTCACTGTTACCTTCATAATTATTGTAGTCTGGTCACATTTATAAGATATCATCTACCAAGATACTCAGGATGTTATGTAATTATTATAAATGAAATAGTACACAAATATTATTAATATAAGTAAATGCCAAAATGACAAACAAGGAAGGCTCAAATAATGTTCTATGTAAAAGAACCAAGAGACACTCAAATTTGCCTATAGAAAGTAGAGTTTACAAACTGTTGGTGCAACTACGGACTAATAAATATTTACTCATCTAAGAACTGATGTTCCAGCTGTTCTTCCCCACTCAAAGTTAGCTGATTCAATGCAAATACCATTTAGATTTTTAAGGTATGATGTATTACTTGATCATTTCAGGGTATCTTTTCCAGTTGTATAAAGTTTCCCAAAGAAAGTATATGATTTTAGGTGAGGCCAAACAGGGAATTTAGCAAAAATCAAAAGTTGATCATGGTCTTCAGGGGAAATATCTTTGTTAAGATGTAATGAAGTAATAAACAGAAAAATGTAATGTGCGCAACGAAAATACTCTAAAAACATATTTTATATAACATTTAAGACAGCAATAATGAGATTTATCTTTGTACTGTGAATACCCAGAAAGGAGTGTCCAATAAAAGAGGGATTTATAATCTATATTCTTTCCACAATAGAGTTCCATATTTGAAGAGTTTGTGTGTATGTGTGCGTGTAGAGGGTGAAATCTATGTGAAGAGAGAGAGAGTAGCTGAGAAGACAATAAAAAAGAAGAGAATAAAAATGTGAAGGTAGACAATCTGAGATCAACCTTCCAAACATATACTTCCTCATAGAATAATCTGAAACCATCCTCAAAAAAATGAGCAGCCTTCTTTTCTCAAGTTCTAAAATAAAGATAATTTCAAATTCCATTATAACCATTCCTATGCCAACGCCATTTTGACACACTAGCCAGTTATAGCAGGACTAAGCAAACATTTTGTGTTTTAACAGTCAGAGAGTAAATATTTTAGACTGTATGAGACATATAATCTGTGTTTCAACTATTCAACTCTGCTGTTGCATAAATGTAGCTGTAGGTTATGTGCAAATAAATAAGCATGGTTATAATTTAATAAAATGTTATTTTTAAACACTGAAATCTGAATATCATATAATTTTCATATGCCATAAAATGTTCTTCTTTTGACGTTTTCCCACAGTTTATAAATGCAAAATTCATTCTTAGCTTGTGGGCCTATAAAAGAACAGGATTTGCTGATCTCTGAGTTATCGCATTAACTCAATAAAAATAAATGTACAAAATCCCCAAAGACAATAGGTATCTATTTACCAAAAGTGTAAGAAAGTAGTTTAGAGCTAAGGATGGAATGAAAATACTCATCTTAAAATATTTATACAATCACAATCACCAAAATTCATTACTTATATTAGCCCTATTTTATACTATCCCATTCGGTATTCAGGAAATTAATTGTTAAACATTTAAAAATCATGGTTTGAAAGACGATTATTTTCTGATTTGATTCAAGTATTTTTCTTAACACTTATTAAAAATGTAGTCTTATTTTGGGTGATAACTCCTCCTTTGACTAACTTTTTTCACTTTAAATATCATCCTTTTATTTGTGTTAGTATAGTAAGTACTTACAAATAATTGTCATATTCCTTCCATTTCATCACTTTCCATCTTAGCTTCACTTATATGCCAATAATCTGTCTTCATGAACCATACTCCCTTTTGTTTATCAAAGTCTTTTAAAAAAATCACCATATTTAAAACCTATCTATACCTATGTGTGGCTGAATAGAAATGTAATATAATACATAAACTGAGTACTTAGATAAAAATACAAAATTGTGGCATATGAGTATTTTCATACCTTTCCTTTATTTTCTTTTTTCTACCTATGTTTATTTCATGAACATTTATCTGTGTTTTTCCTGAATATCTTAATATTCAGCCTCTCCTTGGCCCGACTGCTCCTCTACTAATTCAATTCTTTGTAAATTTACCTTGATTTATATTACGTAAAGAAAGGGCCAGGTGTGGTGGCTCATGCCTGTACTCCCACAAATTTGGGAGGCTGAGGCGAGTGGATCCCCTGAGGTCAGGAGTTTGAGACCAGCCTGGCCACCATGGAGAAATCCCGTCTCTGCTAAAAAATATAAAAATTAGCTGGACGCAGTGGCAGGTGCCTGTAATCCCAGCTACTTGGGAGGCTGAGGCAGGAGAATAGCTTGAACCTGGGAGATGGAGGCTGTAGTGAGCCGAAATTGCACCACTGCACTCCAGCCTGAAAGACAGAGCAAAGCTCCGCCTCAAAAAAAAAAAAAAAAAAAGTTTGCATTATCTTATCATGTTTTTTCCTTCCTTCCTTCCTTCCTTCCTTCCTTCCTTCCTTCCTCCCTCCCTCCCTCCCTCCCACCCTTCCTATCTTTCTCTCTCTCTTTCTCTTTCTCTCTTTCTTTCTGACAGATTCTTATTTTGTTACCCAGGCTGGAGTGCAGTAGAACAATGTCAGTTCACTGCAACCTCCACCTCCTGGGTTCAGATGATTCTTGTGCCTCAGCCTCCCAAGTAGCTGAGATGACAGGCATATGCCACCATGCCTGGCTAATTTTTTTTTTTTTTGTATTTTTTAGTAGAGAGGAGGTTTTTTTCCTTGGCCTCAAGTAATCTGCCCAGAAATACGGAAGATACTACTTGCCTTTTAACATTATTTGCTATATCGGACAGTTAATAAGATCTTTAGACTGATTACCTAGTATTCAATATTTTTAGAAACAATGTAATCAGAACAAAGTGTTTCTCAGTGAGTTCTCCCAAAGTGCTGGGATCATAGGTGTGAGCCACTGCGTCCTGCCTTATCCTATGTTTTTCAATTCTCAACATTGTCTGCACTGGCCTTCAATCCTGTACATTACTTTTAATATTCTTTTTACTAGATTGATTAAATGGAAAATTAATTTTTTCTCTATGTGGTTTTATTCTTCAGTCATTATTCTCAGCACATCACCAATCTAAAGATTTGTAGTAATTTTTGTAGTCATTAAGGTAGGAAAATTCTGCTTAGGTACAAGATGATGATTTTATTATTACTAAAATTACTAAAAACCCACTTAAAGTT